TCTACATACAACAACAAAGCTCGATCTTGAGCTTCACTTACAACATATCGCGTCGATTCGCGCGTTGAACAGCGCCGCTTCTCCGGCATGAATTCTAGTATGTCCTCAATTTCTGTTATATCAAGTGATAGACTAATGCAATTGCGACAGATCGAGAGGAGCGGCTGCAAATGCGGCAGCGCGGAGCAGCGTACGCGCATCACTATCCGAGTCGCCTTCCGATTGATCAAGAGAGTATAATGCTAACTGTACGATTCATATGACAGGACGCGCAAAACGAAAGCGATTGATTTCGGATTCTCATTTGGACTTGCTTCGGCACCCGCAGAACCCACGTCGGAACCCGCGTCGCAATCCGCCGTGACTGTCACTGCCACCGAACCTTCTGGTTCTTCACAAACAACATCAGCCCCAGGAGAAACCACATCGTCGCGGATATCACCAGCACGGACACCTTCATCTCGAAATCTAGGTTCTAGCCGGCGGACACCAGGAAGTGCGCGCAATGCCCTCCCCGAACGACCGTCGATGTTCGATATACCCTCGGATGGGGAGTTAGAACTTGGGCGCAGCAGCAAAAGGAGAAAAATTGGTAGGTTCCTGAGGGGCCCCTAATGACTTGACTACAGTATCTAACAGTGTGACGCTTAAGAATCTCCCAGCAAGGTTACCCCCACATCGGCGAATTTAGACGTTACAGCCCAGGAGACGAGTTTAGCACAGCCCCAGCCGGACAGCATGACGACCGCACAAGAAAGCATTCGTGATGAACCACAGGCTGCGGCACCTATCACAAGCGCCGAACAAGTATCCGAAGACGCGCATGAAGTGGCCGTTCCGTCAACATCAAATAGCCTGATCGACGACCTGACAAAGGCGGGAGAGAACCCGGAGGTTCACGGGGCAGCGGAAGGGGCTACGGTGATGCGAAGTGGCCTACTACTACAGAACGGCTCGAATTCACCTCCCCTGGATACCATGAACTCCGAGCGCAGCAGACAAGAGTCGGGAACCCACGATCGCGCTCCACCAGAAGCTTCGGTGATGCCGCATGAAGTTGTCGCAGAGCAGATAGTGGAAGAGCAAGCGGTACCAGAACCAGCCAAAGCCGATCAAGACACACAACAGCCTACGCGAGCTCCAGAGGCACCAAATGAGCAGCATATCGCTACTGAAATGAAGGAGTCACCGCCTCAGCGCCAGAAGCGCGCAAGGGGCCGGCCACCCACATCTAGCCGAACGAGTTCTGCTATTGGTGAAGGCTCAGACCGGAATGGAGGTGACGCGCTGGAGAAAACGGCGGCTCCAGATGATCCGAGCAAGAGACTTCGAGCCAGGAGTACAAGGAGCGCCCGAAACACATCGAGTGATCCTACCGAGAACGTTGTCACCAGTAGCAACTTAGGCCGCGGACGGGACGCGGCTCAACCTGAGACGGTTGGCGACGATACTACAGCAAGGGGCCAGGATGTTGAGCCGTCAGTTTTGCAGAAACAAAACCAAAAGAAGAAGGGCAAGCGCGCTGGACGCGCTCAGAAGAACCGGCATGTGGAGACTCCGCAAGAAAAATCCGATGATTTGAGTAAGAGAATTCAGCAGGAGAAGCAACCACAGCCAGGCAGGGAGCAAAATGCAGAGTCTGAGCCTGAGCCTCAGCCTGAGCTGCAACCTGAAGCCGAGCCGGAACCCGAGACCGTCAACAGAGCAGAATCGCCAACAGCCCAGGAGTCTTCACGACCCAAGAAACGTCGTGGGAGACCATCGCTAGCATCGAGAAGGGCTGACAACACAGCAACGCAACCTGAAGAACAACAAGAGACGCAGCAAGAGGTTGAAGGGGAGGATCCAGAACCTGCGAGGAAGCGGACTAGACAACCTCGCGGTGAAACTGTACCTGTGACCGTCCACCGCCTGGTGAACGTCGCTTCGCTGGCACCAGGAGCTTCTGGTCCTGATTCACCAGTCGAGGATGGAGAATCGGCTGATGAACTGGCCACCAGGGGGAAGACTAAGCTCCCTAAAAGAGGAGGCGTCAACCCAGCCGATGTACTGAGCCAGATTTGCCGAGAGACACTGGAAAAGACTCTCGCTACTCTGAAGAACGGCATAGCCAATGAGACCAATCCCGCACGACGTGCGGAATGGACCCGCAAGAAGAAAGCCGTCGAGGCTTACGAAACAGAACTTGAGGGTCGACTGTTTGAGTTGAGCGAGATGCTGGATAGTAACTTTGTTCTAGGCGTCCAGCTGAAGAAAGCAAAGCGGGAGATGATGGACTTGCGGGGCCGGCTGTACCAAGCCCGCAAAGAGAGAGAGGCGGTTGCTTTACGAATGGATGCAGTGCGCAGAAAACACGCGGAGGAGGAAAGTGCGAGAATGGTTAGTTATGCGCCCCCGTTCGGAAGTCTATAACTACGTCTTTGATGTGCGTGTGATTGGCATCTGATGTTTCGCAGGCCCGCATCTCTATCAATAATTCCTTGCATAGTCTCGAGCTTGCGGTCGACCGAAGTCAAAATCGTGCTTCCGCCGATGCTGAGGACACAGAACCGGCTGATGCTTCCCCCACAGTTGGCCTAGACTTTATGCTCCGTAGCGTTGCAGAAGCAGTGAGCTCAACCGCTCCCGGAGCTCAGGGTGGTCTCTTGGACCAGATCAAAGGCTTCAACGCACAGTTAGAAGCTACAGCTCGCAAATTGGAGAGCTGACAATGTGTTTATTCTTGTTTGCTGATACTATGACGCTCAATACCCTTTGGTGACTTTTCTGGATTGTGTGTATCAGGATACTCCTCGGTGTGGTTACTAGGCGAACAGACCATCTTATTTGCATACCGCATGTTACCTGATATACACCGGAGTACACTCTTACCCTACTTCTGTTTAGTCCAGACTGAAAGCAGCAGCGTTACTAACGCACAGCCTTCAACTGTTGTAGCCTTGTAGGATCACTGTATCTCTCCCTCGTCGGCTAGAGTCCTGGATGCCTGAGGCAAGAGCTGAACCCGCCACTCGACCAAAGCATCCATCAACTTTTTCGCCTCAGGAATCAATCGGACCGAATCAACTCTTTTTGTCCGAAGGGTTTGTCAGCGAAATTTGCAACGGCCAGTCAATCTTCCGAATGTCTGCGAATATGCGAGTATCGTTTGTTCACTTATCTGTATCTATTGTCCCCTTTTCTCGTTATGGAGCTGCCTTCGATGAGTTTCGGTTGCCCCACTGGATTTTCAATCCTCGGGAATCGGATAGATTTGAAATCAAGCAGTGGGGTTCTCCAATAAGTATACTGTTGTTCTAAGACACAAATACTTTCCAGGGATTGTAGATAAAAGCCGACGGTCTCCCTCCCCGTATTGCCTTGTTCCAATTAATACCCTACAGAGTATAGTTGTGCTGTTATCACGTCTCGAGTGATTTCTAGACCGCAAAATCCCAAGAAACTTACCATGTCGAAACTCTTCTCCCCCATCCAGGTCGGGCGCATGCAGCTCGGCCACCGCCTGGCCATGGCCCCCATGACCCGATTCCGCGTGGACGACGAGCACGTCCCCCTCCCCATGGTCAAGGAGCACTACGAGCAACGCGCCGTTGTCCCCGGCACCCTCCTCATCACCGAAGCCACGCTCGTCTCGCCGCGCGCAGGCGGCTACGCCAACGTCCCGGGAATCTGGAGCGAGGCGCAGATCGCGCAGTGGCGCCAGGTGACTGACGCCGTGCACGCCAAGGGCTCGTACATCTATATGCAGCTGTGGGGTCTGGGCCGGGTCGCGAACCCGGACGTCCTCAAGAAAGAAGGCGGGTTCGACCTCGTGTCTAGCAGCGACGTCCCCACGAACGACAATGCGCCTGCGCCGCGCCCCCTCACCGAGGAGGAAATCCATGCGCTGATTGCGGACTATGCGCAGGCAGCGCGCAACGCCATCGCCGCGGGCTTTGACGGTGTCGAGATCCACGGCGCCAACGGGTACCTCATCGACCAGTTCATACAGGACACGGCGAACAAGCGCACGGATGCGTGGGGTGGGAGTGTCGAGAAGCGCGCGCGCTTTGCGCTCGAGGTCACCCGCGCTGTTGCGGAGGCTGTTGGTGCAGACCGCACGGGCATTCGGTTCAGCCCCTGGAGTAGCTTCCAGGGGATGCGGATGGCGGACCCGATCCCGCAGTTCAGCTACCTGGCGCGGAAGACGGCGGAGTTGAAGCTGGCATATGTGCATCTCGTCGAGTCGCGGATTTCCGGCAACGCGGACACCGAGTCGACGGATCAGCTGGATTTCTTCCTCGAGGCGTATGGCCGTGCTAGTCCTTTGGTTATTGCGGGTGGCTACAAGGCTGATTCCGCCCGCGAGGCGGTCGACTCGCACTACAAGGATTACGACGTGGTGGTTGGTATTGGCCGTCCCTGGACGTCGAACCCGGACCTGCCTTTCAAGATCAAGGCCGGTATCCCTCTTCGGCCGTACGAGAGAGAGTTCTTCTATTTGCCCAAGGATCCTAAGGGTTACATTGACTACGAGCCCAGCGAGGAGTTCAAGGCCACGCAGGTTGCGGCTTGAATTTGATGACGCGTTTCCCTTTCTTTACCTCTGGTTATTGGTGTACTAGAAGATACCACTGCATTGCATATCATATATCGTATATATAGACTATAGAATCTTCGTTTAATGATGGATCGTTGAGTTTTCAATGTTCGTACTGTAGTCGAAGCTGTCAGAGCCATGCTGTGCAGGAGACGAGGCGGACTCTCCCTGAAATCCGGATTCTCCCTATCCGTCAGCCTAGAAAGTCAGAGTTCTCCGGACGCTGTCCCTCGCGCTTCATGTCGCGACGCCGATTCTCATACATATAGTAGCACTTCAGCAGGAACGGAGAAGACAATAGCTACCGAGACTGTCGCCGCAATCGCAATCTTTGCCGGTATATAGTCTGGCTCGTCTTCAGTGCGGAGCGTCAACGGACCCAGAATGTTTCCAAGACAGAACGAAATTAGCACGACGGCGTTCATCGTGACTTTCTTGGTTGGCCTGCGACATTAGCACCAGTGATGGAGTACATCAACGGTAGAGCGATCCCGACACAGTTGGCCAGGTAGTTCCCAGCTAGCTCGTCTGCTTTCATTCCATCATGGGAGAAGGCCATCAAGCAGCCTCCGAGGAGCCCACAGGCGAGGATCCCTATGACGCTCAGACATCGCTGATCAAAGCGGCCGGCCAGATACGTGCCTGTGAGAATGCTGCTCAAGCTGACCACGCCGCCGGGGATGGCGAGTAGCTCGCTTTCCTTGGTGGTGTAACCGAAGCTTTTGATGATCAGCGCGAAGAAACTGCTGATGGCCGCGTTGGAGATATTCATTGCCGTCACGATCACCGCAATGAAGTAGGTCTTGGGGTCCTTGAATAGTTCTCCAAATTGGTACATTTTGAAATGCTTTTTTCCCATACCTGTCCGATTCTCCCGGAGACGCTCAATCGCCAGAAGCTTCTCCTACTGTGCGCAAAACACTATTGTTGTAGCCAAAGTCCTGAAGAAAGGGCTCGACATGATAGCATTGCTACTCTCGTTATACATACATTTGCGATGCCATGTTATCAGCGCGGTCACAGATAGAAGGCCTCGCACATCAATGACCTTCCGTAAATGGATGATTGGAGCCTGATAAGTGAGAGAGCAGTCGCAATCGCAATGACAGACATGTCGAGTCAACCTTCTTCAACTGACAAGGACTTGGTCCAATCGAACTTCCTCTAGAAAGTGATTAGGTCGCGTAAGCGACAGAGACCATGATAACCGGGGGAAGCGTGTGTGAATAGATACCCCAAATTTGGCGATCTGTCCGAAAGAAGCAGGTGGTAATCCTCTCCATCGTGCAGGAGATGTCACTGGTAACAGACAATATCGATCCCCCCACGCGGAGAGAGGTTGCTGTAGCCATGATTGCAATAAGTCGCGCATTATCAGTATGTTCATAGGAACTTTTTGTCCGCATTTTTGAGCACATGCAGGTAGAGTCTTGATGGAGGATTATAAAATGAGTCCCTTGGCAGTGAGCTGTCAACTCATAGCAGACAATGCGCTTGAGACGTGTCAAATGCTCTCCGATGAGAAACTTGTTCAGACAGCTCTATGGTCCAACCTCCCCTGCACAGCAGGGGAGACACTCTCATCAAGTGGCCATTGGTGTCACAAAGATATTTGAGGTTAGTTCGCATTAGCGATCGACAGCATGATGACAAGGTATGCCATTTGAGCATGCTCCTCGATCAGTTGAGTACGAGGAAATGATAATCTTTCAATTCATCTCATGAAAGAATTTTGGRCCACTTCACAAAAGCTTCTCACCCAGGCAACTGCCATTTTCCTTATAGTACGCTCAGCTAATCGAAGACGATATGAGCGGGGACTGTCCCAAGGTCTATTGAGAGGAAGCGATAATTCCATAAGACGGGCGCCACCTAACAAAGTGCGCTATTGTCTAACTATTGAAGTCGGGTAAGATTCTCAAGATACACCCAACGTGCTTTCGATAGTTTCTACCACCCCGTCCGGATCGTAGTTGAGCGACTGACCGCTTCTTTTCTCCGGTAACTTTCACCGAAATGACGATTTTAGAGAGATATCTTGGTCATCCTATTTACTTTTTCAACGTCGATCATCAGCTCAGTATCAATCACTGATCGACCGTCTAGGTACATCATCGCTTGAACCACGGGAAAGCGAGACGCGGATCTACAGCGCTACAGAGGTCATTTGACCGGCATCTACCCCAACATGATATACAGGCCGCGATAGATGCTGACATGTAGAAAGTCGCCGAGCAGCAAGGACTAGGTCATGCTCCAAGTCTGATGTTGTGAGGATCCGCCAACTTCCGCTTCTCCAGGTGGTTCTCCAGACAATTGCGTCGTCGACCCCGCTTACACTTCGCCTCTCTTTCCGTTCTCACCGAGAGAATCGGTTATTCGTAATTCGTACAGTGGAGTAGTACTCTAATGATTCCAGAAAAGGATACAGTCTGATAACCGCAGCTACCCCGGTATTTTTGACTGGTTCGTATTCCCCACTTGGAACCAAGCTGTGAGTTGCTCATGTGGACGCTGCTAGCACCAGGCCGCCAGCTCTCAAGACAAAAGCCCAGAGTTCAGACTTAGCCAGAAAACAAAGTAGGGGTCCGGAGTGGAGCCAGAGAGCATCGCTGAATCCATAATCTCGCATAACTCAAAGGCCAGCGCCTTCTGGTTGGGCCCTGAGTGATTCCTCCCAGGTCTCAGTGACTTCCGCTCCGCCGAACCGAAGGGTAGCCGAGTCTGGGCCGGGAAAGCCTCATCGACCTGCAATAAACGGAATCGTTTTGGAGAGGGTCCTAATTATTGTACTATCCCCAGACCCCAATTGTATCCGGGGTTATCCAGTAGTCTCGGCATTTGACATGGCATGAAGCCGGCTCGAAGAGGTTTGACGCTCATCCAGTCCCAGAGTATACTCCATAGTCCGCGATGCTAGTCCCAAGAGAGCGGCTGCCAAGCAAGAAAAAAACGTGGCTGTCTCGTGGCCTTGCACGGACTGAGATAGAGTTCTCAGGCTTAGAGCAAAATTATTGAAATGATACCCCAGCCACAAAGTATCTAATGTCTTGGATAGCGGGACATCAGGCAATAATCATTTCTGGTGTCTTTGGCGATGTAGGAAAGATCACATCACTTGGTAATCATATCGAGTTGATCGGCAAGAATGCCCTTTCTCAAGACTTCGCTATGGCCATTGTAAGTGAGGATGATGCCATTGGTCTTTTTGAACTTTGGTTCACTGTCTGGGGTACTCCGTAAAGTTTGGGGAGATTGTCACTAGCAGATATGCCAGCCACTGTTCTCTGGATGTTCGATATCACCAAGGTTCGAGTATGGCAGAAGTCAAAGCCAAACTGACATCATCTTGAAGTTCAAGTATATACAGTACGTTGATGTCAGGAGCCAGTTTGCCCCAGAACGAGAAGAGCCCTCGATTTCAGGCGCTTATATGGTCCAATAAGCGATCCAGTCAGCAGCGGCATGAGTTGTCATGGCAGGGTAATTTGTGTACACCACTTAGAAAGGGGGAATCAAGCCCAAGACTGCGCAGCACGCCAACGCTGCCAAGGTAAGCAGTTGTCGAAAGCAGTGTTAACGAGAGCGTGGCATCCGAGACCGCAATTTGAAGTTTCAGCATCAAGAACTTTATCGAAATTAACTTCGAAAGGAGCTTGAGACAAGTCTCACCTCTCATCTACTTCATTATTAAACAACAGAAGGAAGCAAGGAGAACAGCCTAAATACAACCTCACTTAATATGGAATAAAGACCTGTCTACAAATAGCAGCACAACAATAAAAGCCAACTTCATTAATATTGCTAGGCCAAACCATAATAAAAATCACGGTAAATTATCCGAGCACGCCCCTAAGCTTAGCAGACCACAGAAATCTTAACAGCGCACCATCTCACTCCCAATTTCCACCACAAACAACCACCCACCTAAGCACGCACTTTTAATCAAAATAGCTATTAGTCTAATTTCGCAGCCACAGCCGTATGACTGGCGTCTGCAGTGAACGTGGCACGACTTGCCAGTAAATATGAAAAATAATCCGCCGTTCCAACGCCAGACTTCAATTACGTACTCTCCAGTTCTCCGTACCCCCAGAGACCTTAGCTATGGAGTAGTCTTCCCCTTGTCCCAAAGAATCTTCATAATCCTGTCGAGTCTAAGGTCCAGGACCTCTGACTCTGAGATCAGGAGTTGAGAAAAAGCTTGTCAAGAAATCCAGATATATCTTCGGATTCGGCTGAATCTGAGACAAACGAACAAAGGTAACCTCGTACTCCAAGTCTCTGTGCTGGTGTTGACCCGCTAGCTGCGTAGGCGAGGCCCATCGACTCCATTTTTCTGTAGGCGACGGCGTATGCAAGATGCAGGGGCTTGTCGCAGACTTGCAGCTTACAGGAGTTAATTTGCTGGTCTCACGAACCCTGCCAGTGCGGATTTGGATCTATCCACAATCATATGCTGTTAATTGTTAATATTGGGTGATTACTTCGTATTCCGTACACCAAGGTCGGTTAGGAATTATTAGGGTTATAACAATCTGGACTTGAGTAATACCTTGAATAGAGAAATAGTTAAGTATCATGCTAGTCAGTTAGTCAACCACCAAGGTGACATGACAGAGACACTTGCCGGCCAAACGTCCGATCGGCGATGGCCGAGGGAATGACAATACTGATGAACCCGTCATTTCCTATTGGGGTGATGACTGGCGACAGTGGTGCTCCATAGGTAGCTTTAGGACGGGTACTTTGATTAAGCCTTTGATGATCTTGTCCATAATGTCAGTGTCAGCCGTTCTTACCCTGTACTCTGATAACGATGAGCCATGCGCGATGGGCCTGATCTTCTACGCTTGTTCATCCCGTTATGAACCCTGGGGGGAAAGGGGATGCCAGGCCGGTCGCATCTATTCTTAGTGACCCATACGGAATACATGGGAGATTGTAGTAAGAACTGTAAGACGAGCAAGTCCGCCCCGTGAGATATGAAGCGATGGCCGCAACCTAGAGTTACTCGTCACTGATAATACCCATAGAAACAGGTCAGCCCGTCAGACTTCAGCCGCTGATGAATTACCCAACAAGGAAACGACGGGCGGGAAGACGGCAGAACATCCACAGACCAAGGCCTCAATAATATTGGTATTGGTTGAGAGTCGGAGTTGAGACTTGAGAGGGAGCTTCTAGTCTAAGTAGCCTAAGTGGATAAGGTTCGTGTCTAGACGTGTTTGGCTGTGATGCTCACTAATGGAATTCTTTGAAACGGGGGCCAGCTCAGTTCCAGACTACCTACTCTTACCTTAGCGTCCTTGTGTGACAAGCATACTGGCCAAGTCGCGTCCGTCATTGGTGCGTTTTTCCTCCACCGGGGAAAGCTCAACAATAGTTCCATCATGAGGTTGTACCTTTGTATGCTTACTCACCGGGGAGGATTAACTCTGCTTTTCTTCCTTGCTTTTTATCTCGATTTCTCAGTTTGTACGGAGTACTTCGTTGTTTCATTCTTTGAGTATGCAGTAGCCTGTGGGTAGGATCTTCCGGTCGATCATGAGGAGAATTACCCACTGTTCTCTCTCATTACTACGGAGTGCAATTAAATACTCCATACAAGCTATGGCGTAGAAGGATATGAGCTGCAGGAAAGCCGTGTCATCGGGGCGATCCGTATTCCACAAATCAACACCAAAAGATGCCTTGTATGAGGTCTTGGCAAAATGGGTGCTCAGCCCAACAATCAATCCGCATTAAGGGATGATGCTTGCTTGTCAAGTTGTTGAAGAGAAGGCCCAAACTACTAGGCTCCATCTACGGCTTCCTCCGTCCTCCGTCTCCGTCGCC